CTGCTTTAAAGGATTCTGTAGTAAGTAAAACCAGATGAAAAGCTCTGATAGATTGAGAAATATAGAGGGTTGTTCGTACACTACAAGTTTTTGACTTGTGTTGCCCACCCACTCGCTCACTCTCTCTCTCTGGTCTCAGAACTATTTCCTACTCTGGGTTTGTGGGCATTGGGAAGGACACTGTTTGATTCATTCTGTGGTGATGTTAGGGATTTTGAAAAAGACAAGATGGGCCAGTTATGTCACTCCCTGTTGTGTGATAAAAAAAATGTGATGAAAAAATGGAGTAACTGAAAGCTGCTTCCAGTTTCCAGTGGTGACCCCAGTTTCCAGTGGTGCTGTTTCTCAGTAGGGCCAGTCAAGTCGCTGTGACCTTTGCTCTCCTTAGAAATCCCTGATGTTGGCTGCGCTGCAACAGTCTGCTTGAAAGGCTGGCCTTTTGGAGCAGAGTTGTGTGCTCCCTGCAACAAAGGCAGCTTGTAGATGTTAGAGTGAGGCCACAGAGGAAATCCCCATGGGCTTTGGAGGGTTTGGATCCTGTCTGCACTTATCTTTCTGGTTTTGTCAGTTCACTTTTACTTCCCATCCCCAGGATCTGAACAGGCATCAGATGGGAGATGGACTAAAATACTTATATATCATCCTTCCCCTCCAGCCACCAGGCCAAGACAAGGCACTGCTGGATAGTTTTATAGACCACTAGAAAATTGAATCTCCGAGAAAAGAAACAGATCCCTGGTAAAGAAAGTGGAGCAGGTAGGGTTAACTATCATTTGCTCAGTCAGTCCAACAAAGATTGATTAAGCTGTGCCTAAGCTGGGTTTTGTGCTGCTTGCTGTAAATACAAATTGAAATCCCAGGCCTTGGTCTGTGAACTCTCAGTGTGGGTGTGGTGGAGAGGAAGGGTCAAGACCAATACGGTTTGGGCAGAGGAGCAGGAACAAACACAAGGCAGGTAAGGGGTGAGAATTATCATGGGTTGTGCCTTTATTTTCAGAGTAAAGTGGAGCCTGGGTCAGGAGGCTGGAGAGGGGTTGGTCCCTATTTGCAAGGACAGGTTGTTTATGGCATGTAGGTAAGAACAGGCACCAGAGTTCAGATCTTTTCTCTACCCCCTATTTGGTGAAGAACCCAGGGCAGTCACCTAACTTCTCTAAGCCTGATTTTCTCATCTGTAAAATGGGTCGACTATGGTTTGGGTGACGTAAGGGATGGTGTTTAAGTTTTAGAGGGAGCCCAGGTAGTTGAAACAAGGTTTTTCAGTCACCCATGGGGTATAGTATCCTTGGCTCTGTAGGTGCAGCTTTGCCCACCAGAGTTGGAATCCACTGAACCAGGCACTGGGGCCATTCTGCTGTAAAATCTTCACTGAGAACAGCACACAGGCTGAGAATCTAGGGTGTTCCTCCTCCCTGTTCACCAGCAGGCTTTGTCTCATCTTACGGCCTCAAAACCTAGCCACATAGCCTGTACTGGTGACAGGTTTGCTTGTGGCTAGAGAACCTGAGGAGAGACCTGAAGTTAGTGGGGCTCAGGCTTGTGTGTGTGTGTGGTGGGGGACCCTGGGGCAGAGCGAGGAGCACGAAGAAGGGCTCTGTGAAGTGCAGTGTGATGCTTGGCACAGGGAGAGTGTTCCAGGACTGTGAGGGGGCCATCAAAGCCACACCACAGGATTTGGTTTTAATCATAGGACAATGAGGGGCTCTTAGCAGAATAACACAGGTCAATGTTTTATTGGCTATTTATTTATGTACTTAACATTATAATTTCATTTATTTATGAATAGACAGTATAAACTTCTGTTTAAAATGAAAAGAATACAGAAGAATCTACAGTCAGGATTTTTCTTCCTGCCCTTGTCTCCTGTCTATCACCTAGCTCTTTTCCCAATATACAACCAAAATTTATTTGTTTCTTTTGTATTCTTTCAGAGATATTTTATGCATATAGAAGCCAATAATTACTCATATACAACACACACACACACCTTTTCCTTCTTTTAACACAAATTACAGTGTTCTGCCCCCTTTTCTCACTTACTTTATCCTGGAGGTCATTCCATAGTACTATAGAGAGTCTTCATTCCTCTTTTTTTTTTTTTTTAAGTCCTCACCAGAGGATGTTTTTTCATTAATTTCTAGATAGAATGGAAAGGAGAGAGAGAGAGAGAGAGAGAAAGAAACATCAATATGAGAGAGACACATTCATTGATTGCCTCCCACATGGCCCCGACTGGGGATGGGGATTGAACCTGCAACCCAGGTATATGCCCTTGACCGAGAATTGAACCCGGGACCCCTCTAACCACTGAGCAAAACCAGCTAGGGCTCTTCATTCTTTTTTTTTATCCTCACCCAAGGACATTTTTGCATGTATCTTTAGATAGAGCGAGAGGGAGAGAAGGAGGAAGAGAAAGAGAAAAACATCAATGAGAGAGAGACACATCGAGTTGTTGCCACCCACACGACCCCAACCAGAGCTGGGGACAAATTGCAACTGCAACCAAGGTATGTGCTTCTAGTAGGAACCGAACCCGGACTCTCTGGTCCGCGGGCCAACACTCCAACCGCTGAGTCAAACCAGCCAGGGCTCTTCATTCTTTTTAATGGCCATATAGTATTCTGTCACATGGGTGTAGCATTATTTTTACCTTGTACTCTACTGATGGACCTTCCAGGGTTTTCAACTTTAGCTACAACAAGCATGCTGCAGGGACATTTCACATGTATGCGGGCTTGGTTGTGTGAAAGATTACACATATGTTTGATATCTGTTTCCAAATTGATCTTCATAGAGATTGTACTAATTTAACCCCACCCTACCCTTCCAACAGTGTATGAATCAATTATGTGACTTTAGAAAGTTCCTTTTGGGAGGCTGTTTGGAGGGTGGATTTCAGAGGGACAAGTTGAGGCAAAGGCACCAAAGGGAACAGCTGACATGGGCCTGACATGGGTCATGGGGACTGGAGCTGGAACAGAGATGGATTCCAGGGGCGAGTTGGTGATTCAGTAGAAATGAGGAAATCTTTCAGATAAGGTTTTATAGACCTCAGTTGTTAAAAAATTGATAAGCGAAACAAGCCAAACAGAGAAAGACAAGTATCATATGATCTCACTTATTTGTACAATATAATGAACATAACAGTCTGAGGAATGGGGTAGTCCCAGAGACGTGGAAGTGGGGTACAGACTGACAATCTCCAGAAGAGGGGGTGGTGGGGGAGAGATAAACCACAGAACTTATATACATGTATGCATGAACAATGGACATGGTCACCAAAGCTGGGGACAGGGCGGGGAGGGCGGGGGAGGTGGAATCAGTGGGGGAAAAAAGGAGAAACATCTGTAACAAAACTAAATTAATTAATAAAAAAAAATTGAGTGTTGTACATAATTTGTCCTGTTCATGGTAGATGATAGAATCACTGTACTCCTTCTGTTTGGCTGTAGTAGAGACCTGGGCCCTAATGTCTGGTGACTTGACAAGGGAGATGCCAGTGGGGGCTGCTGTGAGCACCTGGCCTACCCCTCTAGGTCTCTTTGGACCACAGCCCCACTTGTGTCCCTTAGCTGACAGGATGAGGTAGGAAAGGGGGTTGGAGAGGATAGAGTAGAAGGGAGGGAGAAGAGTTGGGATATTCCAAGGCCTACTTAGTGTCAGAGACACATAATGCTTCTCCTGGGGGAGGCCAGAGGAGCTGTGCAGGTCAGTGGTGACCAGGGAAGAATTCTTTAACAATGGAGTCAGGCACTCTGGTTGCTGGTGGCCTTTGGTGCCAGTGGGCTGTGTGATCTAGAGCAAATGACACCATGACTCTGAGTTTCACTTTCTTCATCTGTAATACTAGGTTGTAGAATAATCTGTGTGGCTGACTAGTGCACCAGTAAGTATGCCAACAAAAAAGAACACTCCTCCCTTACCCTCCCCACCCCCCCAGCAGTAGAGTTCTGTCATGAAAATCACCCACAGAGAGTCTTCCTCTGCCTCACCATAACAATAATTTTGTCCTGAAAATCCCTCATGGGGCAAAGAGGAAATATTTGCACATTCTTGCATCCACAAAATAATACCTTTTTTTTAATTGAAACTATTCTATATCCCATTAAAAAGAACACAATTACTTAATTGGCTAACATTAGTTTTCCTAACATATGACTTACGGCAGTTTCCTTTTATTGACTTCTCTGTAATTTGTCTACCTGCTATTGTTCAGCTCAAGAGTGGCTGTGTATTCAGGCCATGCTCACAATCTGACATGCATACAGAAACACACACACACACACACATGCTTGCACACATATACATGCACATATATGTACACACACATATTATGCTCTGTTGATGTAGTTGAACCTTCCATGCTCCTACTCGGCTGCCCCCAGAAAAAACAGGAAGCCCCCCAACCAGAACAGAAAGGACAAGAGAAGTGAGTAGATATTGTCCAGCCAAGCAGGAGATGATTATGATGAAACCACAAGTACTGTGAGGAGAAGACCTGGGAGCATAGAGGAGATGCCCCAGCCCCACCTAAACTCCTTCATTTTTTAATCCTTCTTTCCTCTCTCTGCAAGGGGAAATCTTTAGGCATTTGTCAAGTCAGACATTCAGCTTTTTCAGCTTGTTTTTTTCTTGTAGTATGGAATAAAATGATAGTATTGGTGCAATAGAAAGGCATAGGTTTTGGAGTCACCCAGCCCTGCTGCAGGCTAGCTAGGTGGCCTGGGCAAGTTCTCTTTTATAGGCCTCAGTTTTCTCATTTCCAACTGGGATAACACACCTGCCCTTTATGGTGGTTATGAGGATTCAGTGAAATAATGTAGGTCAAAGCATGTCACCTGTGTCCTGGTGCTAGGAGGTATGTGGTAATACTCATTTCCCACTCTGCTCACTTTTAATACTTTAAATTTGGCTGGTTTTGCCTGATCTAGGGCATTGGGCAACTATCTGAGTTTCACCTCTCCCGTTTCCATTTCTAACCTTGTCTTCTCTCCTTCCAGGGGCCCAGATCATTGATCTGATGATGCTGGTCATTGATGTGACCAAGGGGATGCAGACCCAGTCAGCGGAATGCCTTGTGATTGGGCAGATTGCCTGCCAGAAGCTGATCGTGGTGCTGAACAAGATGGACCTCTTGGCTGAAGGGAAGAGACAGGCAGCAATAGATAAAATGACCAAGAAAATGCAGAAGACCCTAGAAAACACCAAGTAGGTTTGACAATGACAGGAAGGTTCACATACACAAGAAGCAGGCTTCAGGGCACACATGGATTGGGCAGGCAGTTGTCAACAAGTGGAACCTTGTCTGGCTCTTGCTTGCATGAAGGGTAAAGGCTAAGGTGCTGTTGCAAGAGACCAAATAGTACAGAGGCATGAAGAAGCAAGAAGTTGATTTTACAGGTATTTTCTTAGTGTGAGCAGTGTGTGGTTCTGCTCTGCATGGCGTTCAGAACACCAGGTAGCCTCCATCTTGCTGGTCCTTCACTGCAAGATGTGTCCTTGTTTGTGCAGTCAAGTGGGCATGGGCACTGCTGTGTTTATGTTTGCAGGAAGGTCCAGTGTGTAGGGCCTGGACCTGAAGGGGCATACCCTTCCCACTGATATTCTGTTGGTGGGGACTCCATTCCACATGCCCATTTAGCTGGGAAAAATGTGTCCCCTCATTGCCTCTTTAGCTGCAACTGGAGATAAGAGTTCAAAAGGAGATATGAGTTCTGGTGGATAACTGGATGTTTCTGTCACTGAAGCTTATAAAATTGTCTGAATTGGACTGATGAACATTGCTGTTGAGGGTAAACTGTGAAAGGGCAGATCACAAAAGGACCTTTTTAGTTTTGCATGCTAAGGAATTTATAATTACGTCTTGTGGAAAGTAGGGAGTTAAATAATTTTGTGCAGGGGACTGACTGAAAGTGGTTTCCCTCCCATCTAGAGATGGCTGGCTGTAGGTGGAAGAATAGCGTGGCAAGGAGGATGTAGAGGCAGCAGAGAGACATACAAGGAAAGGTCTTGGTGGTTTTTCCAGGGAGAGAAGTGTGGCTCAGAGTTAAGGTACTGGAGGGGAGAGGAGGGTGAAGTAGGGAGACTCAGCAGGCTTTATTAGGCTATTGGTTCTGCCTGCAGTCAGCATATTCTGATAGGAGAAGTCCATGAGGGCACAACGGTGACACTGCTAGTAGGCAGGGTAGGGGTGGGAGGGGTTTGGAGACTATGAGACACCTGGTTGCTCAGGTGGCCAAGGGAATGACTAATTCTGATGTGGTCAAGAAAATGAGAAAGCATCCTTGTTGAGCACACAGTGTTGGCAAATCTCATTGTTTTATTAATTTCCCTCTTCCTCTCAAGGCCAGCACTTTTTGATCAATACTAAATAGTGGTCACTGGGAGACAGCAGTGCTTCCTCTGCTATGCAACCTGAGACAATATCCTGCCACTTCCACCTCTCCTCCTGCTTGTGGAGGGCAAGCAAGTAGAGAGTGTTTTTGTTTCCCTATCATAAAGATTGATATGCCTTCCCATTTATGACTTTTTTTTTAGATCCAACACCTGCAGTTCTCTCTCAGAATTCTCAAGTTGATTAAATTAAAGCTCCAGCCCTGTGAATGGGCCAAATATGTCATAAAAGATTTCTTAGTGATGCCTTTTGTTAGCAAAATTTATCAACCATGATAAAATCGACACATTTAGATAAGTGTTGCATAAAAATGCAGACTTTGTTATTCCCAATGGAAGTGGATATAAGACTGTAAAAAGGAAGATAAAAATTTACGTCTTCTTTTTTAGTGAGTTGATTCCCTGCCATTTTATTTATTTGTCAGAAAAAGGACAACAGGTCCTTTGGACTCCTACATAAAAACCCAACACAATGTCAGTATCATTTGCTATGTAAACAGGACCTTCTGGGAAGGGCTTAGAGTAAGTACTTTATTTATTTATTTATTTATTTATTTATTTATTTATTTAAAATCTTTATTGTTGTATGTATTACAGATGTTCCTCTTTTTTTCCCCCATTGACCCCCCTCCTCCCCACTTCCGCCCCCCTCCCACCTTTTCCCATACTATTATCTGTGTCCATTGGTTATGCATATAAGTTCTTTGGTTTATTTCTTCCCACCCCCAACCCCTTTCCCTTTTAGGTTTGTCAGTCTAACACCCAATTCGTACTTAATCCTTTCACCTTTTTCACCCATTCCTGCAATCCCCCTCTCATCTGGCAACCAACAAAATGTTCTCCGTATCTATGAGAATGTTTCTGTTCTGCCTGTTCATTTTGTTTGTAGATTCCATTGTCGATATATATTTCTTTTTCTATTTCTATATTTTATCTTTTTCTTCAAAAAGACCCTTCAACATTTCATATAATGGTTTGGTGGTGATGAACTCCTTTAACTTTTTCTTGTCTGGGAAAGTCTTTCTATGGCCATCGATTCTAAATGACAGCTTTGCAGGATAGAGTATTCTTGGTTGTAGGTTCTTGCTTTTCATCACTCTGAATATTTCTTGCCACTCCCTTCTGGCCTGCAAAGTTTCTTTTGAGAAATCAGCTCATAGCCTTATGGGAACTCCCTTGTAGGTAACTAACTGCTTTTCTTTTGCTGCTTTTAAGATTCTCTCTTTGTCTTGAACCTTTTGCATTTTGATGATGATGTGTCTTGGTGTGGGCCTCTTGGGGTTCATCTTGTGGACTTGTATGTCTGTTTCCTTCACCAAGTTAGGGAAGTTTTCTGCCATTATTGTTTCAAAGAGGTTTTCAATTTCTTGTTCTCTCTCTTCTCCTTCTGGCACCCCCAAGATGCGAATGTTGGCATGCTTGAAGTTGTCCCAGAGGCTCCTTACACTGTCCTCATTTTTTTGAGCCTTTTTTCTTTTTGCTGTTCTGATTGTGTGTTTTTTGCTTCCTTATATTCCAAATCAATGGTTTGCTTCTTGGATTTACGTACTCTACTATTGAATCTGTGTAAATTATTCTTTATTTCAGTTAATGCCTCCTTAAATTCTGACTGTGCATCCATCATTTCTGACTGGTCTTTTTTATGCCCTTGAGGCTCTCACTAAGTTTATTGAACATCCTTATAAGCAGTATTTTGAACTCAGCATCTGTTAGGTTGCTTATCTCCATTTCACTTAGTTTTTTTCTTGGGGTTTTGTTCTGTTCTTTCATTTGGGACCTGTTTCTTTGTATCCTCATTATGGCTGCCTCCCTGTGTTTGTTTCTGTGTATTTCTTAATGAGAGGTATGGGGCTATCTGAGACCAGATGCTGCTCGTTTGAAAGAATTTGGGAAAACCTGAAGCAGGATCCAAGACAGGCCAATCCTATGGTTAAGCAACTGGCAACAGCTTGGGTGGGCCTGAAAGTTGGGTGGGGTGGAGCCTCAGGGAATCACCAGGGCGGGGCTACCAGTGTGAGCCAGGTTGCTGGAGTCCCAGATATGGCGGCTGTCTGTGGCCCCAGGGAAGGGCTCACCAAAGGAACAAAGGCCTCTGACAGCACATTTGTCCTAGAGAGAAAGCCCCCTCTCCAGCCCTCGCTCCAGTGCCAAACAGCTCAGTTCTTCCCTGTATGTCTCTGGCGCCCCTCGAGCTGCCTCCCCTCCAAGCTTAGAGGGAGTGAGTCCGATAAGTTCATTCATGCGTCAACCCTTTAGGAGTAGCTGCCTGGCCCTGAGTGGTTTGGCTCAGCGGTTGGAGCATCGGCCTGTGGACCAGAGAGTTTCAGGTTCAGTTCCCACTAGGGGCACGTACCGAAAAAAAAAAAGAGTAGCTGCCTGGGGCTTCAGCTGCCTCAGGCTCCTTCAGCCTCAGTTCCCGCTGGTTTTCTAGCCGGAAGTTATGGGGACTTCTCTTCCTGGCACTGGAACCCTGAGCGGGGCGTCTGGTGTGGGACGGGGATCCCTCAGTCCTCAGGGAGGACCTTTCCAGCCGAGGTATCCTCCTGATTTTTATCTGCCACACATCGGAGTGCGACCAGCCCATCTGCCTCCGCCCCTCCTACCAGTCTCAGTGCAGCTTCTTTAATTCTGTAGTTGTAGGATTTCCATTCAGCTTGATTTCAGGCAGTTTTGAAGGATGGTTGTTCTGCAGTTTAGTTGAAACTTTGATGTGGTTGTAGGAGGACACGATACCGCTTTTATCTACACCACCATCTCGACCAGAAGCTCCCTTACTTTGAAACTCACTGAAAAGCAGTAAACAAAGCAGTGTGGTACTGGCATAAGGACAGACACACAGACCATTGAAATAAAATAAAGAATTCAAAATAAACGAACACACATATGGTAAACTGATTTTTTGACAAGATTAAAAGAGGAAAGTACAGTCTTTTCAATAATTGGTGCTGGAAAACCTGTACATCCACATGTAAAATAACAAAGTTCGGCCCTTAACTTATAGTATATATAAAAAATAACTAAAAATGGATCAAAGATCTAAATAAACTTAACAGCTAACACTATAAAATTCTTAGGAAAAAAAACTGAAGAAAATCTTCACGACATTGGATTTGACAACAATTTCATGTCTATAACATCAAAAGCACAGGCAATAAATGAAAAAATAAATAAACTGAATTTCATCAAAATTAAAAAACTTTCATGCATCAGAGAATACTATCAAGATTGAAAAGCCCTGACCCGTTTGGCTCAGAGGATAGCGCGTAGGCCCATAGACCAAAGACTCGCAGGTTGGATTCTGGTCAAGGGTATATACCTCCATTGCAGTTTGTCCTCGGCCCTGGTCAGGTCGTGCGGGAGGCAACCAATCAATGTGTGTTTCTCACATCTATGTTTCTCTCTCATTCCCTCCCTTCCTACTCCTCCCATTCTATCTGAAGATAAATGGAAAAATATCCTCGGGTAAGGATTTAACAAAAAAATAAATAAAAATAAGTAAAAGACAATCTACAGACTAGAACAAAACATTTGCAAATCATATATCTGACAAGGGAGTAATGTCCAGAATATATAAAGAACTATAACCCAACAATAACCCAATTAAAAAATGGCAAAGGACTTGAATAGAGATTTCTCCAAAGCAGATATATAAATGGCCAATAATAACATGAAAAGACAATCAACATGCCCTAGCTGGTTTTGCTCAGTGGTTAGAGCGTCGGCCCGCAGACCAGAGAGACCTAGGTTCAGTTCTTGCTAGGAGCACATATTTCGGTTGCAGTTTGTCCCCGGCCATGGGTGTCATGTGGGTGGCA